AACGAGAGATCTCTATTCACATACACGACGACTAGTCACAATCGACCCGTATAGAAATGATCTTATCGAGAGCCAATGACGAACAGTTCAGACGTAACGGACTTCTGTTGCATTTGTACGGATTTACACCCTAGTCGCACCTAAAGAAGTTTTACTTCAAATTTGATTCTTATTTGAAAATATTGAGTATCTACTTCTGAAGAATACTGAACTTCTTGGAAGCTTTGAATATTTGAGTAATAATATAATATCAATTATTTGATAATATGAAGTGAAACTTTTAAATAAATATTCTGCATATTTCAATTCTAAAGCTCGTTACTGATTACATTTATTGAAAGTAGTTTTCTCAACTTTTTAAATTCAACTTATTGTTCTTAACATTTGTGCTAAATTACTAATAAAATATTGACTGAATTTGTTTAAAAGCAACTCGTACATTTGGTTTTTATTTTATTTGATTATTTTCAAGAAGAATGAAAATAATTTTTTGATATGACTATAATATATTTGAAGTCATTATTTTGTACAAAAAATACAGTAATAGTTTATTGTTATATTCATTTCTTTGGTTTTATTGAGTATTTGCATCCCAGAATTGAATAGATCCTTTATCATTCCTGGTAATATTAGTCTATACACAATTATGCATAATGATTTTATTTGAAGTATATTAAACTAGTTTGCCACATGCAATACAAAATTAGTTTTATTTTTCTAGAAAAAATATAACAAATAATATACCGAGTTGAAAACTACATATTATACTCACATCATCTATAGACTTGCCTATGGCACTTGTCCTTCTCTTGTGTAGGCATTCATTATTGTAATTACCAACAAGTAATTATGTTTCTCAAAAGTTATTTAAAAATATACATTGTAATAATAATAAAATTTATTTATCTTTCAAAATACTTCAATAATATTCGAATAAGAAGCCAGATAAAATTATGATCTATGTTAGTAATATCACTATAAATATTTTTGATGCCAAATTAGAAAGATCTGGATTTAACTAGAGTACAATAAATTATAGTTTTTATAAAAAACGTTTATACCAAATTTGAATCTGTTCTATCGTAATACGAAACGTATTCGCACTAACTGTTTCAGCTCTTTGCATTTTATCAATTTTAAAAAATTCTAAATATTTCTTCTTAATATTTTTTTCTCCAATCGTTATAAATAACATGCAGTCTGTGTGAAAAATAATAAAATGTACTTGTTTTTATTTTTTCGTTAAACAGGATAAAATAAGTTCTTATAATACTTATTTTATCTTGTCATTTTGCCATCATGAAGAAGGAAAAAGAGCTTGTTCAATTATTTTAAATTATTTGTCATCCATGTGATCTGGAACATTTATATGATGTCAGATGATAATTGATGCATCGTCAGATATTTTATTTTTGGATATATTTAGGTTCAACATGTAGATCAAAATTACATGAGTTTTTTTGAAAAATATAGAAGATGATTAGATAATTAAGATAATTAAAAAAATTATTTCAATAAAACAAACTCATCTTCATAGTTACTACTTTTTCATCCTGATGCTCCTTCTAAGTATTCCCATTGATGTTATTAAATGGCCTCTAATTATTTTAAATCTCTGAACCAAATATCCATTCCCAAACAAAATTATGCTATTATGAATTCAAGATTAAATAAATTATAATTAATGTATCGAAAACAACGATTACATATTCTTAATACCATATATTAAAATAATATTAGTCGAATTAATATTTGCAATTAGGAACCTGCTTTTGAGGTGGTCCTTCCAGTAGAATGTACTGTTATATTATATTGTGTTATTATTGCTAATTTGTTATCATTATAAAGCAGTTTAATTATATTATAATATGAAACAACTTTGCGAATATGTTGTAGTATTGAATACAAATTACTGCATGTTATTTATGTTTAATGAAGATTTTTGATGAGCCGTTTTAAAAACTTTTGGAAATGAAAAATTAAATTTTGATTTTAAAGGTCACTTGAGGAATTTTTGATATTTTTGGAGTATTATAATACACAAAATTATTGATTATTACTGTTATTTTTAACCTCCCGTAAGTATAGCAATAGCAAAAAAATCGAAAATGAAAATTTTTATATATCTTTACGTTTCAAAGTTTTCTGAATATTTTAGCATACCTTAAAAAAAACGGATGTATGTGTGTGTATGTGTGTGTATGTGCGGATACAAGTTTTCGTCGACGATTTCGGGAACACCGAACAACCGATTTAAAATATTTAAAGAACATTCGATTCGTATTGATAAAAAGACATGCTGGTTAGTTTGGCAAAAAGTGCCAAAAACGGTAACTCACTTTATAAGAGAACGGTGCGCCCGATTTTAATAATTCAAATAACATTTTACTTGTATTGACAAGTTGGAGAACTGATTAAATTTTTGGGAAGGCAGGTCCAGCGGTTATGGACTCTATGGAAGTTAAAAATATGTCATTTGGCGGTCAAAAATGTTTTTTGGACAATATATGCATCAAATTATCAGATATTTTATAGAGATTTTAATATGTACATATTTTGAGTATTTTTTTGTGTTCCGTACCAAGATTTTTAATTGCGGTGCGAGAAGTTCCAGCAACTATGCCATGCACCCCACTAGTTTATCAATTTGTTTTATTTCGTATGAATTAATTGAAATTTGAGGCTAAAATTTATTGAATATTTTTATGTTCTCCAACTATTAGCTTTATTAATTTATTTGCGGATTCTGTGGATTTAGGAAACTCTTAAGATATTACATTTTTATTATTTCTGAATAAATAAATAGTTTTCTCAAATATGATCTAGGTCCTGCATAAAAGTAACCAGTTATATTTTTAATGTTTTAATGACCAACATCAATGAAGCAAAATTCCTTATAAAGCGTTATCAAAATACATAACATTTTATATCCAAATCATAATAAAAATGCCTTCAATTTTTTATTCACAAGAATTATAAAAAGATTCGTTTTGTAAATACAACATGTATTTTAATGGCGATCTAAAATGTTTGATAAAAACCGTCATGTCAGTTTATATTAAGATATCACAAACATGACATAATAA